CGGCTTGCTGTTTTGAGGGTCTGAATGGAGGTACCTCGATAACACTAAACGCTTCATCTTTTGGCTTTGTAACATGGAACAGTTAAATTTTAGGCATTTTAACACTAACAGTAAAATATTCTGTAAAACAGTAATTTTTTTCCACAAAGAAGCAAAAGCGGCTCCAAAAAGGCCAATGTTATTTTGTTTAGTATATCAGGGAGTTTTCGGCCATTTTACGACAATTCCGGATTATTTCAGAAGACCTCCGAAGACTACCTACGATTCCCGAAGACTGTCGAAGATTTCCGAGGACTAAGACAGAGGACCGACCATTGCCGAAGATGTCCGAAGTTTAACAGTTTCACACTTTTCCCCTAGTCACGAACCCTTTGTCATTCTTTACTTAGTTCTACAATTCTCAGAGGTGCGGAAGTGTGGAATAGACTGACAAAGTCAGGATAATGTCAAACTTTTCCCCTAGTCACGAACCCTTTGTCATTCTTTACTTAGTTCTACATTTCTTAGAGGGGCGGAAGTGTGGAATTGTCTAACAAAATCAGGATAATGTCACACTTTTCCCCTAGTCACGAACCCTTTGTCATTCTTTACTTATAGTTCTACACTTCTCAGAGGTGCGGAAGTGTGGAATAGTCTGACAAAGTCAAGATAATTTCACACTTTTCCCCTTGTCATGAACCCTTTGTCATTCTTTACTTAGTTCTACACTTCTCAGAGGTGAGGAAGTGTGAAAAGTCTGACAAAGTGTGAGGCTTGGGCGCTTTGCGCGCGTACGACTCTCACGCCACGCTTTACCGATTTCTTTACTGATTTTGAGAAAAAACCGACTGTTTTGCAGACTAGCCCCTGCCAGGCTTCAAAAAGAGAATAAAAGAGTCTCATGTACTGATTAAAGATGTTTAAGCTACTAGAGCTACTACAACTACACACTTGTCATCCTCAGGTCAACTCCCCCGGGTAGAGTGCGTAGGTGTTTATGATGCACTAACTTCTTGGCCTTGCAGGTGCCTGTCTTGGAGGTATACAATTTTGGGTGTATCTTTCACTACGAATACAGCCTTCTTTCCTCGCTGCTCAGCATCCTCGGGATGATTATATCTAAGCAACTGATAAAGTCGTTGAATTCACTTCGGGTCTTGGTTCAAAGACCTAAGTCACATTTGATTGCGCTCGCATGTACCGAGTAACTTGTCGGTCAAAATCTCAACTACGTGAACACTCGGGCCCTGTCTCCGACACTCTCCCCTCATATGGCAACGAAGGAGACATATGTTGTCCATTCTTCAGGAGACTGGGCAATAACAAATTAACATAGTTACATGAAAAGTTTTAGAAAGCTACTAAGCAGTCCTATACAAAATACTATTTCAAAGTTTTTACTGTTCAAGTTATCCTGAATTCTCCTCTGCGCCAGCAATTTGTCGGATTTTCTCTTCTTTTCCAATGCAACTCTTACGTTCACTAGCACATTAGTCGTCATATGTGCTGAGATCAACTCAAGACGCTGAATAGTTAAACCCTCTTTAGAAAGCCTGGCTTTGGCTGCTACAAGCCGCCGGGTAGTCCCTTCCTAATTCTTGCTTCACCACTGCATTCACAACCGCTCCTATACCAGCACCACTTGCATCCCCAAATCCACGAGACTTAATTTCCTGAATGGGTTCTCTTCGGTCTGCAAGAGCACGACTTACATCTATCTGCTTAGGAAGCCCTTGCTCCCATCCAAGTTTCAGCCTGCCTGTTAATTCTGCATCCCATGCCAATTTCACCCGACACACCGTACGGTACAGACACTTTCCTACCAAAGTCACCGGTGAAACAAGCCCCAAATGGTCATAAATACTTGAAAGCTTACGAAGAACTCCTCTCTTGCTTGAGGCTGCTTCCCAGTCATGAAAAGATACAATGATCTTGTCATGTTTTTTGTTCCATCCCGTCTTAGCTATATAATAGGCTTGATCATCCTGCCTGGGGTTCCCCAAGCAGTTGCTTCGCAAATATTCCTCTTTTCTCAAGATCAGGACAGAGGTTTATGCTACTTTATGCTCAGTGGACTTC